TTATGTGATAGTAACACGTCAACACATCAGAGTGATATGTTCGTGCCACGTCAGGTAAATTTTTATTCAATTTAATTCTTATATCATATATATTTTTTAATCTCTTTTTGACGGAATGATGCTATATCAACATGTCAATGTCACACAATAGTACCACATCAACATATTGATAAGTGCATGTTATCAAATATGCCAAGTCAACACTACGATATTGATGTCAACTTTTTTTATGGTAAAATTACATATTATTAAAAAAACTAAATTAAAATAATTTTTAAAATTAAAAAAATAAATTATTTTAATTTTAAATACATAAAATAAATTAACAAAATATATAAATACATTGACTTCTCAAATATTTCGACTGAAAATGAATTGAAATGATGGACAGATTAACAGCGCAGGATCGTTGACTTAGTTGCAGTCGATCATTGTTCACTAGCTGGCTTTTGAGAGACAATCATGTGGTTTTGAAACAGGAGCTCGTTCCTGCAAATGTGGCATCTGTCCAGTTTACGGTCGTGATAAGAGACATGAACTAAAGGGCCCAAGATTACACACTGAACGGAATTTTTGCTGCCAAATTCATGACCAATGTGTCTTATTGAATTCTAAATCACTAAGAAGCATATTGATGAAAATTTAGTATTAGAATCCTTTGTACTTGTTTTGAGAAAATGACAGTGAAAGCAATACGAAATGATAAATTTGATAGATCAAACCAAAAGAATTGAGTACAAAAATGGTAAGTCTTGTGGACAACGTATATAAGAGGAATATGATGGAGGAATCCAACTTATAGGTGCGTAGAAGCACATCCGAGTAGTAAATGTCAAGAACAAGGACCATCTGCATGCATGGGACCAACAAAGATTACCGATTTTGTTCGACACCAAAGACAAATGATCTTCACCATCCTATCCCCACGATATGTCACATGATTTGAGCAAAAGGTTCAGTCATTGTCCCATCCTTGTTTCCTTCTTCACTGTCAAAAAACCCCAGACCTTGTTTGATTGGTCTGAAAATTTTACCTTTTCTCCGAATTGAATGCATGCTAGTTTGTTTGCCTGCTTACTCATCATTTGATCCCCACAAGTATTTTTGTAGTGAACAACCTGAAGAAACTTAAAAGAAAGAAAAAAGGAGAGGAAGAGAAAGAAGTTGAGAGAGATAGCAGACAAGAGAGGAAGAGAAAAACAAATGGATAAGTTTTTATATTTTGTTCTATTTGAGAACTTAATTGGTTCTTTTCTCTTTAAATAGTTTACAAGCCATGTTATACAAAGAAACTTTGTTTAACAATAAAGAGAGATTATAGGGTCAATAATTGTGTATCAATCTTTCAAAATTGGTGCAACGTCTCTTTACAAATATATCGCAACATATGCTGTTAATTTTGCTATTGATCTTTTGCTGATTTGCTACTAGTTTGTGAGTGATTTGGTACTGTTTTGTGAGAGATTTCTTGCTGATTTGTGATTGATTTACTGCTGATTTGCAAGAAATGATAGTGTTCTACACAACCTATGGCTCAAACCTTGCAACATTCGTCTTCCAGCCACCTAAATGAAACCCAAATGTTCTTCACTCTGCATGTTTATGTCTAGTCCAGTTGATAATTGCTGGTGAAAGCTTGGGAATGAAATGTTTCCTTCTTCTTCGTAAATCCCAATCATTCGAAAACACAAATCCTGATGCTTGCAATCCAGACTGTGCCAGGAATACGATATTTACGGAGAGTAGGTCTCCATTGAAGGCAAAAGCTGTACATTGACTCAATTGAATCCTTACAATGGAGTCATATGATATGACTTTTTCTTTTTTTGATTCACTTTTATAATATGCATCATAATATTAAGCATTAACCAGCTAATAATTACTCTTTTTTTAACCCCTTTTTTTAGTCTGTAATTAATTAAATATTTGCTACATAAATTAGGTTATCCATGATTGTAGTAGCAATTTTTAACGTCAAGTCTGAGGTGTAGCATGGGTTTGACCCCACTTTCTGATTCATTGATTTCCAAACTCGATAGATCGGGGAAATCAATAGACAAATGAGTCCTCCAAAGGCTAAAGGGTGATTGTGAAGGGCAAGCTTACATGACGATGGCGTGCCAAACGATGTTAAGGATATGAAGGCGTGAGTAAGAATTAAGAAAAACAAAAAGGAAAAGAAGAAGCATTTATTGGGTAAAGGTTGGGAAAATACGTGCATTAATGGCACTTGAATTCTTTGTCTCCATAGCTCGAAGTGGGTCAAACTGTGTCATTGCAGCCCCACTCAATTTCAGGTTTCTGGTCTCATTTGGGCACCTCTTTTCAAGTAAGACAAGTATTTTTTTTATTATGATGACCATTAGCTTTAGGCTCTTAAGCCGCCTCACCGCGCAGAACTTGTTCTTTTGTTACCTTTTGAAGTGTTGGTCGAGCGTGACAACTGACAAGGAAAGGATGCCCAAGCTACATAAGCATATTGGGGACGAGAAGCAAGCATTGAGATAGAGAGACAGAGAGGGAAGTGAATTATATCGGTTTAAAAGGGCATAATGAAGCAAAAATAAAAAACATAAGAGGAGTGTTTGAAATGAAGCACGCCAAGATCTAACGCAGTTCCCGGAGCTGAAATAGATTCTTTCAGGCGTGGAGGCAAAGGCTGGCAAAACTCCACCCACAGCCCTAAGTCCCAACCCTCCAAGCTTACCATGCACTCCTTTTTATTAACCTAATAATCACTTTAATTAATCAACCTAATTACCCCAAAATACGTTCAAACTTTTCTTGCTATTGTTCCATAATTGAGTATAGCCAAATCAATCATGAAATCTCTATGATGTTTACTGTATTTTTTTTTTAAACCAATAACAGTTAAGGATTAAACTAATATTCAAATCTCAATGCTGTCCCCTCCCTTCATAACTACGAGCCATTATCCCAATGACAGCACCAAACTTTGTGAGTTAGAGAGAGACTCACTACCAAGAAAAAATGTGGTGAAAGGAGGAAAAGGTTGTCGTTTTGTAAGTTTAAATTTCAGTGCTTTTTAAGATGCTTTATCTGCCAGCTTCCATTCTCTTTCTATTCTTCATTTCTTCTATTCTTTTTCTATTCCTATCTGTTTTTTTTTTTTTATCTTCAAAGTTCTGACTCCTATAAAAAGATTCCAGCCCATGATCCATCCATCCCAAAATTCCTTTTAAATAATATCATGGAATTAAGGAAGTAATTCACAGTTTGGTATGTAATTCCTGAAATGCCCTAATTAGTGGGTGTAACCAATTGACAATTGGCACAGTGGGATATCATGGGAAAATTTGCTAAAATATAATAATGCTGGAAGAATTCTTATGTACTATAAATTAAAGGGTATGATGGAGATGCAAGACCCTACTCAGCTCCCACTTAATCATTCTTTTTGTTTTAAAAAAACTATGAGGAAATAGCATTCCAAAATACTATAAAAAACGTGGTGGTGGCTGAGGCAATACTCAATAGCATGACTGATATAACACCTTACTACTTCAAATCATGATTTCCAATTTCCAACAACTATTAAGGGAAACAAATTGGTTTAATGTAGGATAACTAATTAAAACATTACAGCTTCATTAAGGGCAAGAAATTATATTGTTGTCATAAAAAATGGTAGAAAACCATTAGGTTAGAAGCCATGTACACTGGGACAAAAGATTTTCTTTCACCTAATATTCTATTGGGCTAAAACAGTGAGTCAAATTTACACCCAGGGAACAGAAGTGAAAGCCAATTAGGTCGACTGGCTTTCAGTTCCATTGAAACCTCAAGCTCACCAAGAACACTGTACAAAAAGTTAATTGTTTTCTTCGACTTGAAGGAGCAAAGTTAAGTCAAGAAGATTTCGATTTTGGAAGTTGACAATGGCAGGAAGCACAGGCCTTGGATAGAAAATGACTTGACCATCTTTGATTGTTAAGTACTGAACTGGTTTCCCAACTCAACTGTCTAAGTAAGTTATGAGTAAATTTATTTCCAACATGAGAATCAACGTAGATTAATCGTGTCTCCAGTTTTTTGGAAACTGGAGCTTGACAGGAACACCAAATGGATCTTGAATCTTAACTCCCGTGACCCTGGAGAAAACTGTGGAGAGTGGAAGCCATGTCAACGTTATAGAAAAAAACACAAGAGGAAGTAAAACATTATCCTGTACAGTTTATGAGCTCTAATCTAACTGGTTGAAATGTAAGGGAATCCTCCTTCACTTATAGCATCCCCCTCAACAAAAATTGCTTTTGATAAAAGAAAAACCCTTACATTTAATCCTTCTATTTCGGGAAACTTTCATTCAGTAGCCATTGGAAATCTATAGACATAGTGATGCATGCTTTTCATTCTGTACTCCTTTATGATGGATAAAGATTGAGGCATAGCAAGTGAATTATTTTTGCATTGTTTAACTCACCAATATGGGAATTTCGCTGGCAACCTTTATCTTTATCCATCAAAAAGAATAAAGGTATAGTACTAGTAACAATCAAAATGTGAAAGCAGGCTTCTTTCTTTCTCTATTTTTTTTCCCTTTATATTAAGAAAGTGATGGGAATTTTCAGTGGTTTTCATGGTTAAAGAAGGCACACCTGCATTGAATATTCTTAAACTGCAAAATCAACCATTTTAATTACTCTTAAAAGCATTACCTCCTCAATTTAAAACCAAAAAGAAAAAACAGTGTTTCAGTGAAAAAAAAAATGTTACCTATGCTAACTAATTAGTTGTAAAAAGTAAAAGCAAATAATCCCCACCTTATCTAAAAGAAATAAAAGGAAAAAACAAAAGGAAACACAAAATATTGTATTGTCACTTTGCTTTCCTCATTAATGAATCTTTGTTTTTCCACCAGAAGCAAACGCTTCCTAAGACAGAATCCACGTGGGCAATAAGCCTGGTCTCTTTAGGTTCATAAGGTCATTTTCGTCATTCTAAAATACACCCTCCACGACACAACTCCTCATTTAATATCCCGCCATGTCCCTTCCTTTCCATTCTTTTCCTCTCAGCCCAAACTCCAGAAAAAAGAAAAACCAAAAATGAAAGCTCCCAACAAAATCAAACTGAAAACAAAGTTTTAGACACAGAAAAAAGAGAGCGATAGTTCTTAGATTCTTGGCTGGAAAAAAGGAAGGATCTGAGTATGGCAAGCGGGTGGGTCAAATCTTTGCAATGCAAATCGAGAGCATTTGATGATGTTTACCACCCGAACCCGAAGCATTTGATACCCAGTTCCAGTTGCAGACGAAGTTCTCAAAGCATCAAAGACGTCATCGAAACGACCAAGAAAAAGCCCAAGAAATCCAACCCGAAACTACTTCCGAAATCTAGCAGCAAATCCGAACCGGATTTGAATAATCCTCCGCCTCGACCTCGTCGGAGTAGTTCTCTCCCTGCCCGTCCCGTTCGAAACCCTGACCCTGTCCTGCCCTCACTGACTGAGCTGTCCGAGGGTCACCCTTCCAGGAACGTTGTGGAGATTATTTTCCATACGAGTTGGAGTCCCAAGGCTTTCACGGGTCGGATCGAGATGATTTTTAAAGTTCAAAACGGGCCGAGGACGGTGACCCGTTTTGAGGAGTATCGAGAGACGGTCAAGACTCGGTCGGGGTCGGGTGGTCCGGCTTCTGCTGACGAGGAAAATGCGAGGTGCGTTGCAGACGGGAACGAGGTTATGCGTTTCCATTGTTTGGGTCCCACTTCAGGGAACTGCGGAATGAACGATACGTGGCTATTTTCCGGCGGGAAAGGTGCGGCGATTTGCACGTATTCCGGGAGCGGCGGGGCCCACGAGAGCGCTGGAGGTGGGAGGGGGCGGAGGGCGATGTTGGTTTGCCGGGTTATAGCGGGTCGAGTCTCGAAGAGGGTAGGCTTCGGCTACGAGTCATTGCTGGATGGGCGAGTTGGCTACGACTCAGTGAGTGGTGACAACGGCGAGTTGCTCGTGTTTGATCCACGTGCGGTGTTGCCTTGCTTTCTTATTATCTACAAATTGTAAAAATAGTGGAAAAAAAAAACCTCCTTTTTTTGGTTTTCCTTTATATATGTTTTTTTCTAATATTTTTTATGAGGGTGCATCTTCTTTTGTTGCATTTATCAACACAATTTTTTTCCTTTCTTTTTGGGATTCAATATTTTTTTCTGGGTTTTTATTATGTGATTATTAGTAAAAAAAAATTGGGTTGATAAATGCTAATTGTTCACGTTACTTGACCCTTTGCTCTTCTTCTATACTTAACTGTTGTTAATTCATTAATTAACACAATTTACCGTTTGGGGTTCCCTCTTTATCCTGTAATTTGATTTTGAATTAGAGTGCTCTTTAGACCATTGTTGTCATTTGGTGCCATTTTCAAATTTGTTGACCTTAAGGATGAAGAAAATTGACTAATCAACGGACTTGATTTGATGTCAATTAGGTGATAAACGCGGTAGTTGTGGAGGTTTGGAATAGAATTTTCTGGTTAGTTCAAACTTCAAAGCCATTGCTAGGCCAACAGGAAGTCACCAAGAGTTCTTGAAATTTGTCATGGTCAGTGGAGTATAATTACAGGATTTCAGATTGAGAAGCATAATACTAGTAATAATGTTTTGGGGGACCAAAAAAACTTAAAATGATGATGATTAGGACCCAAGAATTGATGAAGATCTACGATTGGATGGGCAAAAGTGTGGATCGTTTGTTAATGATTTTGCCTAGAAAAGAGAAGGGAAAAAGATTGCACGGGCTTTTCGGGGTTATAGTTCCATATTCAAAGTTGAATGATAATCAAACCTTACCTTTTCTATGCTTTTTTTGCCATAATCTTGAATTTTCCTGGATTTTGTGGTTAAATCTGTAGTGGTTTTATCTCTTTGTCTCATTCTGAAACCCAGAAGTATCATAATCAGAGAATGAGTAAACAAGTCCAGCAAAGATCTCTTACTAATACTTTGGCAGAGCAATCAAAGTCTACCATGGATGTCGCCAGGTTGAATAGTCACCCAGTTTGGCAGCCTATTTCGGCGAGAAAAGCGAAATATTGGAGATAACCCTGAATGAAACTTGTCAACATGGAATGGAACATTCAATGCTGGCATTATTATCAGCAATGGAACTAACAATAACAGACTGCAATTCTCACCTACTTTGTTCTTTATTATTTACTTCCCTTGGGAGAAAAATGAAAGGCTGATAGGTGGTGTACCGTCACATCTTTGATGGGCACTTAAGAGCCATGTGTCTTCTAATCCTAATTTTTTTGCCATCTGTCTGCTAAATTAAGGAAAGACGCAACCAACATTTCTAATTATTTTTAAGAATTCACACCATCATTTTCTGCACAAGCTTTAAGTGTCTGGCGATTCTTAGAATGGAGAGAGTGAACAGATGAGAAAGACAACATTTCTGAGATTCTTGTCTCATAGTGCAATCGAGTAATTAAAAAAACACAGTGATACATGAAAGCGGATTGTCTGTCTCCACAATGACTTAACCACAACAATCACTCATAATGCTACTTGGAACTAGGGATTAGTTAATCTCTCCCTCTCTTTGTGCCAATGGTATTTCGAACATTCAGTAGTAAAATTTTAGAAGCATGTTTGGCATCCAATGCAGGGTATCGCTCATTGCATTTATTTTTGTACCGCCCAGTTCTCTGATAGATTTCAGCGGGTCTGCCAAAAGAGCGATTGTCGTGAGGGTGGTGGGGGTGGTTTCAGGGCCGACATGGGGCAGCTTTGTTTATAGAATGGGTTCTATCAAAGGCCCTTTTGTTCGCCCTTCCACCGATGGTTTTGGTGTCCAGACAACAAAGCAGATCGACACAAAGCAACCCTCCCAATAAAGGCAAGGTTCAATTTCAAATCTATCAGCTACCTACAGGCAAACAGGAGCTAAAACCAACAACAAAAGTTTTGAAACCAAAATGATAAGGGAAAATACCAGGCAATATTCTTGTAAGTCTGACTCTCCACTATAATTGATCCTACTCAAAACAAGCCTTCCTCCATCACTTGTTATAATGGGACACAGTTCAAATTAACCATTCTTGTTAAGATGATGGACTCAATTTACCCAGATGAATGATAAATTTGATATACTGCCCCAAGTAGAGTGGTAATTTGGACCATTCATAAATCGTGACGAGGTCAGAGTCAGCAACAAGATCAAGGTTGAAATCACTCGAGCATGTCATGATAAACAATATATTCACAGGAAGGCAGAATGGCTTTATATAAATTCATTTCTTAAATAAAAAAAAAAATGAGAAAAACCCTACAAGCATTTCCCAAATCCAGCCCTTTGCATGAATTCATTGATTCTCTGCTGCTAGTTGAAACAAAGGTTCAATCACCAAGGTTTATCTAAATTCACTAATGATGAAGAGAGTTTGGGTAAAAACAAAAGTAGATTCCGAATGAAAAGTAGCTATCCATGGCGCTCTAATGTACTTCTCAGTATCCTAGCACCGTTTCAACCAGACTGTATCATCAGCAGCAAGGATCAATGGGATTCCACAAGAACATATAATGGCTTTCCATTCAAGCGCTCACGACCCTACAAAATTCACCAAATTTAAATGTGTATAATTAAAAAGATTCGACAATTGAGCCCCAAAACCAAAGAGACATAAGTACAGAAATATCCACCAAAGATAAATTTATTTGCCCGATGTCAATCAAGAAGCTCTGCAGGTACACTATCTCTATAACTATAGTCTTACATATAACATCGTTTTCACATATGGCTCCTTGGCAGACTTCCTTCTCATCACATGCAATATAACCACTGACACAAACAGCTAACAGTGATTTCTACTATAGTTAGGACCAATTTGTTCTTTTTTCTGCTATTTAAATTAATGGATTATCTAAACAAAATGCTGGAGGATAACATGACAATTGCAAAGCAGATTCTTTGCAATAATAATGAAAGTAGTCAACAAGTCTGAATAAAAGACAAGATCCAAAAATATAAACGATGATTTAAGCAGTTACTCAACTCTTCTGCGACTAAAGTTTAGGGTTTCCATGCCTTCTAACAGTAAAAATGTTAATATTTCCACATTCATGGGCTCATTAAGTCATCTGGACCATCACTTCAGAGAATTATTAGAATATTGTAAAGCCATTTACAAGCCTTAGAAGCAAATAACAGAAAAATTATGAAAGGCAATCAAACATTCAAAATCAGCTATTCTGCCCTGGAAAATTCCTCGAATTTCTAATCTTCCATCAACTGTCAAATGTATGCATATTTCACAGATTCTTTGCACTTGTGTGCTTTGGTGTGTGCACTATATGTGTTCATGTGAGCAAACGTATGAACAGGAATACAGGAAATATAGCCAAGATGGACAATAAATCACACACCTTTAAATCTGGTAACTCAATAACACAAGCACATTCAACTACTTCTGCTCCAACACGTTCTGAAAAGATACATTTATAGTGAATGGTCATTAATCAGGAAGAGACAAATGCCATCTTCAAGAAAAGAATAACCAATGTCAAAAAAGAATGTAAAAAAATAGAGTCAATACCCATACGATAGAGCATAGATCATATATCATGTTACTTCCCATGGACATGAAAATTAGTTTAATTTGCCAACAGAATCTGGCAGATATAAGTTACATAAATAACTCCACCAAACAGGTGAATGTGGTGCATATAAGTATACAAATACACATATCTACCATACTGCTCATGCTTATGAGCATATAATCTTGATTCTAAGGGCTATGATCATCTTAAATCACATACAACACAAGACTTGCACCAAATGTCACCTAACCTGCTAGTTTATTCTGGCCAAGACACCTCTCTTAATTACTAAAGTCATCAGCCTACCAAACTGAGATTTCATGTGATGTGCACCTTGCCTAAACAGTACTACTAAAAACATGCCATAGATTCAGATCATTCATTAGGCAGTCTTTCTTGTAAAATGATCCCCATTTAGTTATTGCACACTATATTCAGCTTTTAAATAGCTAATAAACTTCCTGTTTTTCTTAAGAGTAAATAAGATTACCCAGTAAGTTCATAGCAGCACAGAGAGTGCCTCCAGTTGCTATCAAATCATCAACAACCAAAGCTCGCTCGCCAGGTTCAACGGCTCCAACATGCATCTCAAGACAATCCCTTCCATATTCCAGTACGTACTCTTCTGAAATAACTTTACCTGACACCATTGAAAAATTTATAAAAACAAACATCCAAGTTATTCATAACAAACTCTAGATTTTACACGTTAAGCAAGCATAAATCTAAAAGATATGAACATAAATAAACATACTACTCAGTGTGCTTTCAAAAGTCCTCACCTGATAAGACATTACACATGACGTAATCAGAAAACTATAAATGTACAACAGAACAGGAAATCAACAAGGCTATAAAACCACAGAATAACAGACAATAGATTATGTCACCGTATTAGTGGCAACTCCAAGAAACATGCACCTAACTTCAGCATTTTTAGTCCATCAAATATCCAGTGGAGTGCATGTTTATCACAGAGCATGAACTATGTTCTCTATTATAACAATAAAACGAATAGTGGATCAAGCAGCACTAAGTCTCTGTTCCATAACAGATACATATAGCATTATAAATTTTCTTGTATAACTGCACACTAGCAAAATACTGCAGAATGATGAATATTACCAGGCAACTTCTTTGGTTTTCTCAAAGGAACAAACTTTGCTCCAATTTCCAATGCGATGGGAGGACCAAAAATGAAACCCCGAGCTTCTATACCTGAGATATAAAATATCATTTTTCAAAACACAAGCTTTCTTATTATCATCTATAGATCCAAGATACAGCACAGTACACAAGAAGGGGGAAAGGAAAAGTAAATGCACATAACAAAGACAATCCAGTAGCAAAAGACTAGAGATGATATCAAAGCAGTAGAAAAATACTCCTGATGTCTACATCTGCTAAGAGAATAGTTATAAACAGCCCTACCCCGACACTCCAAGAAAAAAAAATCTAAATGGCACAAGAAACATATTGGAGATCCATTTAAGTCTAGGACGAACTACTTCCACATGACATGACCTTATAGCTCAAGTAGTGTAAAATGGAACCAATTGATAGCAATAAGAAGCATAGACAGGATCAGCGAAGAAAGGCTCTCTAACAGAAAATAATTGATGCTTGATCAAATTTTTATCATGAAAATAAGAATTATATTAGTTCAATAACAGTTTATTGCAACTTTTTTCAGACATTGAA